TTCACCATTTCCCTCCATTTCCATTTGTTTACATGAAGCTACGATATTTTATTATTCTTTTTTGAAAGAAGAGTTCCAAAAATCATAAATGCCGGAATTCATGATACGAATAAACTTTTTCCGGATTTTACGGAGTTACAAAACCTTGCTGAGGATTGGAGTCCCTTAAGGTCATCTAAGGATTTGATTTTCATGGTTATAAGCTGCAATGCATTGGTATCAGTGTCGAAAAATTATTCCTTGTCAAATCTAAATTAATAGTACTGATACGAATTATTATTATTAAGAAGAGAGGTCTGAGGATGGGGAGAAACTTTAGTAAAAGAAATGGCTTTGCTATCAATAGTCCTTTAAAAAAACTTTGGTCAGAAAAAAGTACAAACGCTTTATTGAAAAAATTGATCAAGAAAAAGTCTTACACTTTTTGGTAAATCATTCTAAGGTACCGTTATATATAGTGTGATCAAAACAAACCTTACCTTTTGACTCTGTATAATCGCGTCATTTTCTTTTTTATTTAATTCTTATAAACTTCCTTATAGTGAATAAATGAACATAACTTGAAAAAGTAGTGATAAAAGTGTGAAATATTGAATGTTATTGAAACCTTCATTAAATCAACACATATCAGTACCTTCAGTACTTTAATTGGTGGAGGATATCGAGTCCGATGTTGCATAAGCGATAAATATATTAAAAAAAATCTGTTGCGCGAGCGCGCGGACGTGCCGAATACATATAGTTGGGTCAACATCCGACAGTAAGTTTCATAGAAACTTTATTTTGGCTTTGATGCTTTGGAGGTTGACGCCTATATAACATTTATCTCTTTTGTCAAATTCATGTTGGAAACTTGTTGTGACGACGTGTGTTTGGGCGGTCCTACTGTGTCAAAGTCAGAGACCATGGAAGTATGAGTATGACAGTAATACTAGCTTTCATCGGTCTTGCCAAAAGCTTCATTAATAAGATGTTTATATTTATGCATATTGTGTGAAACCTTAATTCATAGTTATCACGTTGTATGCAATGCACCTCTGTTGACCATTTACATATATTTGGAATGAAAAATTCGGTAATCTGGTTACTGAATTAGGGTGGTGGTCATTTGATTTAACATGGCAAGGACAAATACATACAGAAGGGCTTGTCTTACAAAGTATTTTAGGTGGCATTGTGAACTGATGTTTTTTTCACAATACAAGTGACTGCTAAGCATATAAATATGCTGGAACATCATTACAATTATGAGGATTATTAAAAGCTGAGCTAACAATTATACCTATACGTTACCTGTGTTAATTTCAATTTGTTTTTATTCATAATTTGAAAGTAAAAGTAAATTTGTTTACTTTCGGTTGTAGATTATGCATATCATTCACTGAAGGAAAATTCTATTTCTGGAAAATAGTATGTGTAAATATGGCGTAATTCTGAATAAAAAAATCTTTCTATTTGTTTTGTTACTTTATCTAAAGATAGGACTTTCTGTAAACTACGCTATTAAAATCAATCGTGTTTCGTAGATATCACAGATTTTAAACAAAAACTATTTATTTCCGACTATGATAAAAATAAAATATAACAGCGATCGAATCATCTCGAGTCTTACCTTAAGAGGTAGGAGAAAAAAAATACCTGTATTAACATCAAAGGATGTTAAAAAATTATACAATTCCCGTTTTATTTAATGTAGGATGGAAGAGATAAAAAGTCCCGTCTTTTGGATACACAGCACATTTAAGGTTACAGTAAGGAGGCGAGGCCTAATTTGTACGGGAAATGTCTACTATGACGTCCCTTATGATATAAGGTCTTCAAAATACAACAAAATGGAAGTATTTGCTATTTCAAACAGCTGGATAGCTGTATACTACATACAAACTTACTATTACATGCAATTTTGTCGTTTGTTAAATTCCACACAACAGTATATGAACGATGCATCGATCACAATGCACTTGTCTATGTGAAGTCATCTCGCAAAAATGACGCAGTTTGTACACAGTGAGAGGCTGATCAAGTCACATTTTGTACAATGAAAAATGTCTTTTGTTCTAAAATTAAATATTATTTGCAGTTCAATAAAAACTCGTTAACTTGAATGTGATGTTTATTTTAGTATTTTTTTTCATAAACTGTACACGTGTACATTCTCCAGACAAGCGATACTGTCGTGTGTATGCAGATTCATTGAAAAAGTTCTGGAAGGGCTCTAATAAATTGATTTATTGAAAGGGCATATACTCAATGTATCTTGTCAAGATTTTACACATAAACTCAAGAAGCATGAAGATATTTGAAAAGTGCAACGAACCTCACAAAATCTTTTAAATAAATTAATTTTAGTTATATCTTATGTAGTTGACCAGCAAAATATTCAACCTGCCGTCCAACAAGTTAAATTCTAGCAATTATAAAAGCAATATTGAAATGTATATATGATCCCTAAACTGTAAGTGTTATTGATAAAGTCATCTGATGTCGACATCATATGGCAAGTCTAAATAAAAAATCTATATGTCCACAACATGTAGATTTAAACCACATTACATATTTTGATATCAGTGAAATCCTAAAAGGAATCTCCAACCCTAATAAAGAATGTAATTTTATCTTAAAAAATCGCCGTTATTTTCATTTGTAACCTTAAGGGTGATGCGTATTTTAAGTATTATCATTAAATTCAATAAAGGTTAACTTGATAATTCATGGATGAGGTATTTAAACATTTGTATCAAATTTTGTGAAAATGTCGTTGCGTCTACATGTATGTAGTACATTCGAGATTCTTTTAATTCTTTTGCTAGTAAGAAAGGCTCGATAAGTTCCGATTGAGTTTAAAGTCAACTAACCAATGAAAACATGGGGCTGTTTGATTTCAAAATCGATGAACTAATTTTAGTTGATAGAACAGCAAAGCCATAATTGCTCATAATTATATGGAAGAATAACAAAACCATGATTGCTACTTTAATTAAACGGGGATTGCTTCTCAGCAGATTTTTAATCTCAACCTCTATTTAAAAACTTATATATATTGTATATTGAATTTTTAATTAAATGACATTTTTATTTTATGGTGACTATAATCTCAATGATTAGGAAATGTTATTATCTTATTAAAATATTACGTCATAATATTATTTACGGTAAACGTGGGTAAAAGTAAGTGAATAACTATCTTCAGATTGGTTTTTGCGACTATTAATGCCGATTTAACGGTCACAAACTGAGTTTTTCCGGCTACGCGTTTTCCTATGCGAACGCAATCCATGTATCTTGATTGTTGTTTACGTATCATTTTGTTGAGTTTCATAATATAAATTACGTCTTGAAAAATTGTGTTTCATGTTGCTCTGTTATGACGTTACAATGAAAAGCTTTCAATCTCGTCAATACTTGTTTAACTACTTCAAACAACAGTCCATCGGCCAATCCAAAGGTAATTTACAGAACAATTGCATTAGAATTGGATTCTATAAATTCAATTAAACTTTATGCAATTAAAACCCCATGATTAAGTTCAATACCGAAAACATTTAGTGGGGAATTCTATTTTGTTTCGGAAGGTTTTTTTGCAAAAGAAAATGAATTCATTCTTCCTCTTTCGAAGTATTCAGTATTCTTTAGATTCAATATTTTGGTGTTGTGAGATCTTCTATGCTGGTTCCAAATTATTTTATATAAATATGTATTTTCGTGATGTCTATCAACATATTTTTCAACTTGTCAACTTATATCAAATACAACGTGAAAGTCCTTGAAAAAAATCTCATTTAAGCTTAAAACTAGCACTCTTTTAATAATAACTAAAAGTTAACACCACATACCCATTTTTTTCCTGCATCTATAAGATAATTTGATTGATTGATTGAATGTTGTTTAACGTCCCTCTCGAGAATTTTTCATTCATATGGAGACGTCTACACTTGCCGGTGGGGGGCTACATATTATGTCCTACATTCGGCACTCAGGGCCTTTGAGCAGTGAGTAATCTTTTTCGTGCCAGCATCTACTGCGACCAAGGAGCCTCATTTTATAGGTCTCATCCGAAAAACCAGTCTCCACATTTCACAATGGAATTCGAACCCGCGACGTAAGGATAAACTCCTTACTTTGCGACTCTAGAGCAGACGCTCTAAACACAAATTGACAGTACTTTTACGTACAAAAAAATTCTAAAATGAGATTAATTATTAACACGTACTTTAATGAAACAAGAATATCAACAGTCCCGTTTAAAGTCATCATTTGTAAGATCTATGGTCGATGCATATTGACCTTGTCACAAAATACAATTTGTAATTGAGTAAAAATACTGACTGACGTTTTTTTATACTAATTGTTAGACCATTAGTTATATTACAATGAATTAAAGACGGATTTTCCCGTCATTTCCCGATCATGACAAGACGCAAAAGGCAGGTGTGACGAGTCGGCTTAATCGTCAACAGCACCTGATCCAACCTCTGATGTTTTGGAAGTTTGTTTTTGCTCTGCTCTTATTTTGTATTGCTTATTGGACGTGTGATCTACAAAACTGTTCAATATCGTCATATATTTCATATGATTTTATTGCTTTTGATTTTTAAAAAACAGAAATACGTCCTTTTTAGAGCAGGACCCAACTTTCTTACGAAAGATACGGAAAATGCAGCCCTTAAAAATGCTTCACTCATATGGAGATTTACAGTAGAGAGAAACAATTTTCGAAATAATCTCGGCAGACAGGGCCATTTAATAGTAATGGCTCTTTAACACGCCAGCACCTACTGCTGCCACGCAAGCAAGTCGCGAGTTCTGACAACAATATTTTACGCAAAAAAGCATTACTTTCATGCTTACTTTACCCAAGTGATATATTCCAGCAGCTTTGGAGTATAAAGTTCTTTAAGGGAGGGTTGATTTATGTTCCTCTACTGACAAAAAGTAAAACAAATATAGTATAAAGCTTTTTTGTTTTATAAACGTGAAATTAATTTAATTTTTTGTTTTAGCCACAGATCACCATTCTCACAAACCTTTGATTAGAATCCCAATATCTTCATTGAAAAAAAACGAAAATGATCTTTCTGATAAAAAAACGATGATGGACAAGGATAATTTTCCTAAAAAAGAGGATGTTGATGATTTTCCTACCGAAATGGTTGGATCAAATCTTGAGGTTGAAGATTATATTGCCAAACTCCCTGTCTCCGGTGATGAGTCCAATTTTCAAAAATGTACAAAAATCGAAATCAGTGAAGAATTAGGAGATGTGGAAAAATGTTTGAACCTTCCTACTACCAATAAATGCAAGGTAAATGAAACAACTATTACAAATATAGTCAGCAATACCGAACAAAAAACATTGAAAACTCAAGTAGAAGATATAGTTTCCAAAACACTGTCACCAGAAGTAATCAGAAAGATATTGGATGCACAGGAGAACGAAATAAGTATAAGCATGATTGATTTTGCCGGACAGTTCGTATATTATGCTAGCCACCAGATCTACATGAGATCAAAAGCTTTCTACATTCTGGTTATGGACATGACAAAGGACTTTGAAGAAGTTGTCAGCCGTAAAGAAGGAGAGCAAACTGGATCTGTCTTTTCTACTTGGAAATACAAAGGTATGATTGCAATATTTTAAAAATGAAATGAATTATTTGTCCTTTAAAGAATTAACTAGCTCTGAACAAAAGTAGACGTGACTTAACTTAGTCAATAATGTTGTTTTTTTTTTCTACTACACGGTTTGATTTTAATACTGATTTGATTAGATATTATTTCTTTGCTGAAACAATTCTCATGGTCTAATAAAATTTAATTTGACAGATTATGTAGAATTCTGGCTGAATTCTATTTGTTCCTTTGGCGGTCCTAAAGTACCAGTACTCGTTGTAGCCACGCACGCAGAAGGCAAAACAGAAGATGTAAGACTTATTTTCATTTTTGGAATGAGATAAACATGTATGACAAACTTCTCTAGATGTCTGCAATCATAATTGATCTTAATTCCTACATATTTTATTGGCAAAAGTACAAGATCAAACACGTCCTTACAGCTTGGATTAATTGTGTGTTGACATAATTGTAATGAGCATTAAGTCATCAACCAAATTTGTGAAATTTATTGCTCCAGGGTCAGAGGTTCTAGTGCAAGGGTGGACTCTACAGATTATATATATATATTTAAAATATATCAAGTCTTTGAAAAAAAAATCTCTGCTTCTGTGTTTAAAATAAGCTTAGCACATAGTCATGATGATCAAGAGTGCCTCTTACAAAATTGTAAATTTTTGGGCCCAAGGTTTGTGGGTTCTGGTTTCGGGGGGTGGGGGTCTATTGATTATATAGTGAAAATGCATTATGTCTGAAAATATTCTTCTCTGCTCCTGGGTATTAAATAAACTTAGTGAATAGTTATGATGTGCAAGAATGCCTATTCCAAAATTATGAATTGTATGTCCCTAGTGTCAGGGATTCCGAGCTGGGATCTATAAATGATTTTATAGTGAAATAATATTAATTTTTTGAAAATATTTTTCTCTTCTTCTGAGAAACAAGCAGCTAGATAAACTACCTTTAGAACTATGAGCAAGAGACCTTCTTCCAGATTTGTGAATTTCAAGGCCACTGGGTCAGGGTATAAGGACGGGTAACTCTACTTTAATCAATTGTACGAGTTCTGTTCCTTTGTATTAATCAAACATTTTTATAAGCAAAGGTGAATCGGCGCTTCTATCAAAATTGTAAATAGTATGTCGCCTAGATTAAACATGAACCAAATTCAAAATTGTAGCATGATGCTCAAGTGACCTATACGGCCCATGAGCGTCTTGTTTTGAAAAAGCAGCTGTCAATGATACAGTACAAAAAAAAAGTCTGGACTTGAATTAATCGTGGGGAATGGTTGTGTATGAAGTTTAAAAGTCGTCAGTTTTTAAACTGTTGATTTTTGTAAAATCTTTTGATTTCAAATTGTCCAGTGCACAAATGCTGATTTATACCTCTAAAATTTAATTTTGAACCCGTATTGTATTGTAAATCAACAGTAATTTGTGCTAGTAAATTATTTTTATTTTTTTCAACAAGGTTCCAGATTTCACCTCGAATTTCCTTCATACAAATATCACCGATTTTGCTGTGATATTGCACATTTTTTTTAAATTCTTTATTTATTTTACACACTCTGTTTTATCAATCAAAATACATATCTCATTATAGTAGAGATTGGTTTTTCAGAAAGAGAGAGAGATGGGAGAAAAAGAGAGATATAGGGAGAGAAAGAGGGAGAGAGAGAGAGAGAGATGGCATGTTAATTCTTTTACATAAATAAACAAAAAAACTATTTCATTTCATAAAAACATTCATAAAAACGATTCCACTGATTCCAGTCGGTGTCAAAAATCTCTCTGTCACCATTTTTATATGCTAAATATTTTTGAGTTTCATAAAAAAAATAATATGTAAAGTCTATTTTTTTCCTAAGCATCTTATTGTATATATATACTATTTTATCCATAGGAACAGCAAGTTATGAATGTCTTTGTTTTTTACTAGAAATCCCAAAATAAAATTTTGCTTTGTAAATGAAAGTTGCAACCCTATCTTTTGCTCACAATATGTTTCAAAACTGTTGAGGAAGGTTTGTACATTGTCACACTCCCATAAAATACTTTTTATTGTTTCTTCTTCCATATTGCAGAAAGAACATAAGTCATTATCTCTTTTCCTTATTTTATATATGAGTTTGTACCTAGTATTTGATTTAGAATTTTGTATTGAAACCATTGCAGTTTACTATTTTTTGAAATCTCAAATGGAAGTTTAAAAATCCTTTTCCATTCATTTTCCCCTAAATTAAAATTATCATTCCATCTTGTTTTCTTAGTGGGTTCAATATCATTTACATTGATTGATTCATAAAACTGTTTCGCTTTTTTACACATTGAAAGAAAATGAGTGCTGGACAAAATTAATGGGTTAGGTAATTTTGCAATTATATCATTCGTCTCTGTTGCTTTCATCCATGCCTTTACAGCATGTGTTATACCTGCAAAATCTAAGAAATTAAGCCTTAAATTTGGATACATGCCACAAAATTCCTTAAAACTATAACAGGAACCATTTTCATCTATAAGATCATTAATAAATCTAATATTCAAGTCATACATATTTTTATTATAAATAACTTTCTCACCAATGACAATTTTAGGATAATAAAAAATGGTATGTCTCCTGCAACCTTGGATTAACTATAGTTTTTGTTATTTAATTCAATCCAACCGTCAAAGACATCTTTCCAAAACATGTTTTTAAGATTCTTCAGGAAATTTTAATATATTCAATGCTGCATGTTAATATTTTTATGAAATCTACATGAGGTAAAAAAATTTGTAAACCTTTATCTGACAGTATAAGCTGTCTCATCCAAAATAATTTAAGTGATGCAGTGAAAGGCTCTAATATTTATCATTTTTAGTCCACCTTCTTCATATTTTTTCACTAAGACACCTTTCTTTACTCTGTGTTGAGGACTGTTCCGTACAAATGAGTAGAATAATTTTTCCAGTTCCTTCAAAAGGTTTTCCGGTGGATTTGGAATAGCCATTAGTATGTGGTTAAATAGTGGTAAAACAAGAGTTTTAAGAACATTTATCTTTCCAATAGGTGTGAAATATCTTTTACTCCTTTGACTAATTACAGCTTTTATTTGTCTTAATTTTTGGTTCATAATTAAGTCTTTCAATTTCATCAACATCAACATCATACTGAATTCCAAGTAAGGTAAATCTTGTACATCCCCACTTAAGATTATACCCATTACTTAGTATTTCTTGACTAAATCTTTTGGAACTGATCCAAACTGCATAGGATTTCGAACAATTGATGTACAACCAGACATTTCTGAAATTTTCTTTAATGTTTTCATCACTTCTGTAAATGATTCTTTGCTACAATCTAAATGGATTGAAGTGTCATCTGCTAATTGGGATATTTTCTTTTCAGTTTTTTTTTACTGTAATTCCGTTTATTTTTTTTATTTTTTCTTATCATTAGAGAGGTTAAGCATTTGACCGTGTACGTCTACTTGTACGTGTAAATCTAGAAGTGATTTTACACGTTCGCGTAACTAATGCCGTGTTCTGTTTAACAAATTGAACGTGTACCGGTATGTGTAAAACGTCATTTTAGCAAGGTACTTTACAATCCATTTGTATCAAATAATCTATGACTTGAAATAAAAAAGATACATTGGATGTTCGTAATAAACTCTCAACTTCATACCAAATACCGACTGAAAAATATTTATTCCGTAGTTTGAGTATCAGAAGCTACAAGTTTTCCCCTATGTGTACTTGCGAGTCTACACGTTGTGTACAACTTGTAGAATTACGTGGCATGCAAAACTGCATGATGACATAAATTGCATTAAATTAGGGGATTTCCCTAGCTACACGTACACGTAGACGTACACGGTCATCTGCTTAACCTTTCTAAAATTTCTTCACACAAGATAAAGATATAGGGTGATAGGGGTTCCCCTTGTCTACATCCTCTATGTATATTAAATCTTTGTGAAAAATTACCACTTTTTATTAATTGTGGAATTTATATTGGTATGAAACAATTTCACCCTTTTTTGTATTGAGAGACCAAAATTAAAAACTGTAAGGGACTCTGGATAAAATGCCATGAAATAGTATCAAAAGCTTTCTCGAAGTCAATCAAAAACAACAAGTCTGGTATATTTTCTTCTTCTGTGTACTGCATTATATCATAAATTAAACGTGTATTTTCTCCTATGTACCTATTGGCAATAAATCCCGTTTGGTCACTATTTATCAATTTGTCTAATTTATTTTTTTATTCTGTTAGCAATAGATTGATTGATTTATATTGTTTAACGTCCCTCTTGAGAATTTTTCACTCATATGGAGAAGTCACCGATGCCGATGAAGGGCTACAAATTTAGACCTTTACTCGGCACTCAGGGCCATTGCAGTTAGCAGTTAGGGTTTTTATCGTGCCAACGCCTACCGTGACACGGGACCTACGTTTTTAAGGTCATATCCGAAAGACCCGTGACTTTCACTTCTATAGTGCCGAGCACTTGGCGAAGGAACAGTCACTACGCGGGTATGTTAAGGCAGCACATGGACCGGAATTCGGCGAATTAAGACTTTTTTTTATAATTATGTAACACTAATTAATCGGAAAAGTCAAGCATAAAACTTTTGTTATAAATATGCATTCTACAGACTTCAATCGGACTTATACTACATGAAGTTCGTCACCATGACGTCACCATGTGACGTCTATAATTAGAAAAAAATGCCTTAATCAAAAAGTGAAAAGTTCAACACTACCCCGGGGATAATTGAATTCAATTTGTAATAATAATTATGTAAAAACATCTCTGTACCATGAAAAGTGCTGCTAGAATCCTACTGTCCTATCATAGAAATAATTATTCAACACTTTCTGACAAAACCTTCCCAAAATTTTTACATTTTGTTCATAACACTGAAAAAATTGCATTAATTCCCGTAAACCATCCGAATCTAGCAGCACTTTTCAAAAACAAGAGAATAAGAACTTTAGATAGAAACAAAAATTAAGTTTCAAAGTGTGCGGGGTAGTGTTGAACTTTTGCATCTTATTTGTTATGAACGACAGAGGAAAGGCTGATCGGCGAGTAAACACCCTCCCTGTTTTAATACTACGAAGAAATTGTTGAAATATATTACCATACCTTATTCATAAGCTTTATTCCCACATGAATCACACATGGTATTCATTCTAAATGCTTTTAAACTCCGATTTCGTGTGTTTGTTTACATGAATTTTCGTTACGTTTCACTTTCACTCTGCTACTGCATGATCAACAGTTTTGACGTCACGGGTTTGGTATTTAACCCTTGTGATAACTACAGAGACCCAGAAACGACAAAATTTTGTTTGTATAATGCCTCTGCATATTTTGATTAATTTTTACAACCTCAAATCAATCTTAGATATCGATTATAAGAAATTGTTATCTCTTAACTTCACGTCATATAGCTTACTATGACGTCATATCATATAGGCAAGTTTAAAAATATTTGGTTGTAACCTAAACTTACCTGCGTACCTTTGTTTACGTATTAGGTATGACGCAGCGACGCGATCGAGTATCGAACCCGGGCCTCCCGATCACGAAGCGAACGCTCTACCTCTAGGCTACCGTGACCGGCGTGTTAGCAATAGAACCTGATGCAATTTTGTATACAGTATTTAGGAGTGTTATTGGCCGCCAGTTTTTTTTTAGGTATTCAATGTATAACGAAGAGATTTTGACTGATTTCAAATATTTTTAAACTAGTTGAAAGCACAAAGCTAGAAAACGATAAAAGTGAAATAAACCAAATTCACAAGACTTATAACATGTAAGGAGATGGTCATTTTGCACATTTACAGTTTTTGAAGAGTTATCTGCCCTTAATGAAAAGAAGAAAATTTTTGATTTCACAAAATTTCTGCGGTAAATATTTTATTTTATTTTATATTTTAATAAAGAGGGAGTTTATGCATATTTTCACCAAGAGATTTATTTGAAATTCAAATTACTTTTTACAATATCTTATAAAAACATGCACTGCCCATAGACTTCAATGTAAAATTCAAAGTGATATTAATTGGACAATAATCAAAATTCTGTAAATTCCTTTGGTGGAGAATTTTCATTTGATAATATCTTCAAATTGCTACCATGATTAAAAATATTGGATTGTCTTGGCTTATCCCCCTTAGGTAAAAGCGTTATTATACCGTGTCCCTGTGTGATAGACATAAGATTACTCTCATGTGCATAATTAATTGAACTAACAACAAAGTCTACAAGGTACTATAGTAGATACATGTATTGCACATTTCTTGTTTTGCAACGATTTAGCCGTTGTTCTCCTTGGTTAATCCATAACTTATGTAATGAATTCTTTGCTCTTTTATAAGAGAATTTTAAAGCATGAAACCATAATTGAAAATTGATGAAATCTATGCAATGTGTTTAAAGGATTTTCAAGCAAAATTGAAATTGAAAATTATATTGTTTTATATAAAACACAACAATCTATCATCGGAAAAGGCAGATGTAAAACGCAGAATCAAATAATGTTTGAGTTTGCCTGGGATGTTTACGGGGTTTTGTGTCTAAAATATATTGACAATCCTTGCAAAACATATACGTTCACAAATCCTTTTTCCCCAGAATATCATCTTTAGTTATTAATTTTTTTATATATAATGTTGGGTATCAAGGTAATGGTCCTTTTACATAGAAATATTTTTTGTAATTGTAAAATGGTTGCGTTTAATCGAAATTTTATCAAAATAATTTATTCAAAAAATCTGTCATTGAACTTTGTATATGTATAGTTACCTGTTTGTTACCGGGAACTGGTGGACACACCTACTGAGTTAATTAACGTCTATTGTTTGACCAGTCGGTATAATGTACTCTGTTAACCTGTTTATCTTACCCTGACTCCAAATGCCGATCGGCAATCTTCGGCTGACTCCGCTATGCTTGTTTTAAACATCGGATGTGATTAGAGGAATAGGCTTCAAATTGAGACCTTTTTTGGGTATAACTTCCTTTTTACTCATTTCATATTTTGCACTTCGTAAAGATCCTCGAAAAGCTATCCTAATACGTTTAGTTATTTATTGTAATTTGATTTAAAATATATATATTTTTTTTGAAGGCTGGAAGTTGGAAGTGTCACTCTAGATACTCAGGTTTCAAATGCATGACATTTAAAAGAAATTCAATATAAGGATATGGAAATAACGAACAGTATTCAATCTCAATGTCCATTAAACAAATATACAAAACAAGAGCAGAGCAAACACGGACCTCCGAAACATCAGAGGTGGGATCAGGTACCATGGAGGAGTGAGCATCCCCTGCTGACCGGTCACACCCGCCGTGTGCTCATTGTCATAATCAGGAAATAACGGAAAAAATCCGTAGTCAATTCAGTGTATAAATAATGGACTAACAATTAGTATGAAAAACGTCAGTCAGCATTTGACTCAATGATAAATTGTATTTACTGACAAGGTCATTGTATCGACCATAAAATTTACGAAATGATGACTTTAAACGAGACTGTTGATATTCTTGTTTCATCAACTTGCTTGTCAATAATTTACCTCGTTTAAGAAATTGTTCATACGTAGAGCATGCTCTTGCGTATCAAATCAACTGAGATATAAATACTCCGTATGCAGGTGATGAAGGTATATTGCTGCATAAGTAAGGGAAGTTGACGATAGAAAAGTTAAAGTCATCACGTTTATCATATAGCTTGGTTGTTAGATTACCATTTGTGTCTTTTTCAAGTAGAATATCCAAGTATGAAGCAGATGTGTTGGACTCTGTGGTATCTTTTATCTCAAGCTCACCAGGATATATCGTGTCGACGTAGGAATGGAAATTATCATTATTAATTGACAATACGTCGTCGATATATCTAAATGTCGAGTTGAAGGCCACAGCTTCTGCTTCATATGAATATAAAAATAAGTCTGCTAATAACGGAGCGCAATTTGTACCCATGGGAATTCCAATAGATTGTTGGAATACCTGGTCTCCAAAAACCACATAGATATTGTCAATCAGAAACTCAAGTATCTTCTTGATGTCAACTTCAGAGTACTTATGTATACAATCAGAATCTGTTTTAACAAAATAATTTTTCAAATGACCAATGACGAGGTAAGTAAACTTACGAGTTCCATTTTTGTTGAAGAAGCAGCTGTCAATGATATCAAAAAGCCTGGATTTTAATTTGTCGTGCGGAATTGTTGTGTATAAAGTTGAAAAGTCGTAAGTTTTTATGCTGTTGATTTTTGTAAAGTCTTGTGATTTCAAATTGTCCAAAAGTTCTTTAGAATTTTTAAGTATCCACATCTGATTTACACCACTTCTTGAATATATAGTTGTACAGTACTCTTGAAGTTTTTCCTTCATTACTGTCAATATTTTAGTGAGAAGTAACGAAAGAGGCTTGGTTGAACATTTACTGGAACCTGCAATGTATCTTTGTTTGTAAGGATTCTTATGAAGTTTCGGAATCCAATATATATAAGGTAGTTCAAATTCATTTTGGCTCTGTGGAATATTAAAAGTATTCAAAACTGACCAGTGATTTTTGAAGGATTTCTTCCTTAGAAAGAGTAGTATATGTATAAGTAGGATTACCACTCGTAGAATAAAATCCAAGTTCTTCTAAAATGCAATTAATATAATGAGCCTTACAAACGAAGACAATGTTGTTACCTGCTTTGTCGGCAGGAACCAGTACGTACTGATCGTGTAATCTATCTAATTCTTTTTTCACTTCTGGTTTATTGAACACAGAAGGATAGATGGTTTTCATTTTGCCCCTCAATCTTTTAATACGTGACTTGAACATGGATCTGATACATTTAATCCATTCTGACAAGGTGTCAATGTCTTCTTTTTCATATCTAGCCCATCGTCTGGCGTAATTTTCAACAGAATCCATAATATTTATGAAATTCTGACGCCAGTTGAAGGATCGGGGTTCCCTATATTTAGGACCTTTTAAAATAAGTGATCTAAGGTCCTCATTACGAACTATATTTACGTCACCTGTAATAACGTGTCCAGCAGGACTATAGTTATAGGGCGAAGAACAACATGAACACGGAAGGGGATTATTTTTCAGATAGTCGATATCAAGGCCATGTAAAGTATTTTTGTAATTGAGAAGTTTGGAAGCAATGGTCGATGTATATTTGTAGGAAATACAAGGCGTAGTCTTTAACTTGAAATATGGTGGAATATAAGACTGGACCCTTTTGTGATTAAGAATATTAATAATATTTACCGCGTCAATTCCTTTATTGGCATATTGAAGTTTAAGGAAAAGACGGATTGTTTTAGCTGCAAGATTAAGATTAAACGAATAAATCAGGAAGATTGTAGCACACTTTTGACCTCTGCAAAGCCCTGTGCAAGAAACGAGACATCCGAAGAGCTCCGAGTCTTCCAATGTGTATTAATCTGATCGGGTGTCACATTAAATCTGATAGACTGTTCTACCACAATTCGATTTTGAAAGACCGACTACTGAGCGCATTTTAATAAATATGACTTACTGTTGCATATCTTAGGGAAAAAATAAACTTAACCACGAATCACTTAAGCATTCTCGTGATTGGATTTTCAATCTTTGACAATGTACTGTATTATACATATTTTTTCAACAAGACCCAAGCAGTCCCCAATAGCAGTACCCAAGTTGCTCTGGTATCGCTATAAGCCTGCTGTAAGACGACTGCAGACCAAGCAGTTGCTTTCTTGTACTGCTTTGTTCACTCATTTGTGAAAATAGTTCTGAGTAACATGATAACTTTGCCCCCTGGAGTATTTTGAATTTGCAAGCCATCAGTTGTGTTATTTACTGTCAGCAGAGAGGTACATGCATTTAAAATGTTAAAAAATGATTTCGTACACATTTTGATTGGATTACTTACTTAATATCTTTAGTATCAAAAACTTAAAAATAGTTTTAAAATTGAAATCAGGTCATGATTTTTATCCCTTAAATTACAAAAGTGACTGTTGGTCTATGATAGAACTTAGGAAATTATGACTTTAAACAAGACGGCTGATATTTCTGTTTTAGCAACTCGTTTGTTAAACACTTATTTCCTCTAAGAAGTTGTTTGGCCAAATCAAATGCAGACATTATGATGTTTTGAATAGACGAATTCATCTACACCAAAATTTTTTTTTTCTTTGTCTACTGGTTCAAAGTTTTATTTCTTTTTCTTCTTCAGGATCTGTATTTTACTGATAATTCAAATACGACTAATCTTTTTTATTGATTTCAGGACATAGAAGAGTTTTTTCAGTGTTTGTGGAGATCCCTACCAAAAACAATTAAGTCATGGCTTTCCAGTGACACTGAATTCGCTTTTGGTCTCCTATATGCCAGTGAAGAAGAAACCGCAGAGAGATTACAGATATTAAAGAACTCGATTGTGGATCTAGTATCACATACCGGTAAACTGAACACAAAATTCGAAGTTCCATCATCCTGGGCCTTACTCGAACATCTTTTACAAAATTCGGAAAAGCCGATCATATCCTGTCATGAAATTAAAGACTTGAATGAACAACTTCCTGAGGAATATCGCCTAGAATGCAACAAAGAGATACCTGAGTTTCTCTCATTCTTTCATGACCATGGCTTATTATTGTATTTTGAAGGAGAAGCGACTTGCACACATGCCATTCTTGACATACAGTGGTTTTCTGATGCATTTGCTAAGTTAGTCGCAGACAAAAAGCACATCAATAAAGTGTGCAGGCGAGAACTTATTGAAGAATGGGGACATTTCAATCAGACAGGAGAACTAAGCAACACGTTAGTTGACGCTCTTTGGAAAGGCGAAAATACACAATCGTACCAAAAATACAAAAAAGAGCTAATGGCTTACATGGAGAGTCTCCAAATGCTGGTCAGTATTGGTGAAACGGATAAAGCCCAATCCTGGTATGTGCCATGCATGAACAAAACGCAAATTAAAACAGAGATCATCAAACCAAATCTAGCGTGCTCTTCAATCCTGTGCTTTCGATTCACTTCCTTTGCCATGTTTGTGTTTTACAGACTCGTAGCCTATTGCATGATTTACCCTAAGTGGCATGTTGTTCCGGACAAGAAAGGCAAATGTCTGTTTCAAACAGTTGCAATGTTTGAATACAAGAACCACACTGTTTTACTCGGTATATGTGAAAAAGACATTCAGTTGCAGATTATGACAAACTCTTCAGAAATAGATACGAATGTCTCCTATGAAATAGGTATTACAATACACAAAGCCATTGAAGAACTCACGAAAACATTCTTTGAAGACACACATCCGAGTTTCCAAAAAGGATACAAATGCCAAAAAATATTTTGTGACCAAAATGATAAATCTTTCACACCAGAGGAGGAACTTTGTAAATTAGAAAATGAAGAAATCCAATGTTCATGCTGTCCAATGGAAGAAAAACACACAATTAACATTCCCAAAACTCGGAGCTTTTGGGAAAAGGTAATTATCATGCACTTATGCTTTTTTTCACAGATTGAGCAGGAGTAAATTCTGAAAATAAAGTTTAATAGCTAGGTTGCTTTTTAATATTTTTTATCATATATACGAGTATATATTTTTTGTAAATGGCTTAAACCCGAAAATCTCATGTACATACAATAAAATAAGTTCAATGATGTTCAAAAATCTTAATATAAGTATAGTTTATGTAGTTTGTGATGTAACAGATTGGTGTATGTATTTCATACTTAATAGAACTCGTTCGATTATGACATATTAATTATGCCTTTTTGCCTGGTATAATTCATTTTTAAAATGAACATTTTATATTTTTGAGGCTGATTTCCGTGAAATCTAATTAAAATTGCAACAAGATATTTGTTAAACCACAAAGCATAATTTACTAGTAGTGTGTATTTGGACTTTTTTCCCAAAATGTATATGCACTAGTATTACACAGATCTGTACATGTATTAGAGGGAAATTGGATACCCCAACATCCATTCACGTCCTCAAAATACTCAAGGTGCCAAAAATTTGCAATAATCTATTTCCACTCTTTATCTTGCTTAGTCAAACCAGGGACCTATATACTAACTTAGTATATAGGTCTCTGGTCAAACAGTTATCACGCAAATTGACTATCATTATACTGTATATATATAACTGTACAACTTTCCAAAAACAAAAGAAATTAACAAGCTTCATATATATTACGCATTTTAAAAATCATCCTGCATATATACTTTCATTTACTATTGTAATGGTTAGGGCCATGGATATCGGCCTGGATAGCTCAGTTGGTAGAGCACCTGACTAGAGATACAGGGTCCCGGGTTCGATACCCGGTCCAGCCATGCATTTTCTCCTTTCCTGTTACATTTGGTGCCGTGCCATGCCCTGGAATTGACAGGTGAAAGACCTGCCAGGGATGAGCCTGGGTTGGGGTCTTTGGAGGGCCAAAGACCTTTAAGAAGGGAGGAATGTAATGGTTAGGGCCGTGGATATCGGCCTGGATAGCTCAGTTGGTAGAGCACCTGACTAGAGATACAGGGGTCCCGGGTTCGATTCCCGGTCCAGCCATGCATTTTCTCCTTTCCTGTTACACTATCATTCCGGACACAAAAGTAAAAGGCGGGAAGTAATATTAATCCATGCAGTAGGTCACTTCTCCAGCAGTGGGGAGATCTTAACTAAATTAAGCTTTACACATATTAGAGATTCGCAAGCAGACAATGCCCGCTGAGTTATCAATCAGCCTGGGTCAGGTGTACACATACACATGTATTGTAAACAAAACAGCTAGCCTAGACATGAAGTTTTGTTCTCTGTTTTCCAAATTGACTTTAAATTTTATAGCACATCTGATTACTAAGCCCATTCTTTTATTGTACAAATATACTGTATCAAAATTTTTCTGTTTTTAACCACCAGAATACCATCATGTTTTCTCATCACATTGCAGACGCTTTGTTAGTAGGGAATTTCCTGTCTTACAATTAGAAAACATGCACAATGTATGAATACATATCAGAATTGGTATGATTATTTAGGTGACAGATGCTTAAAAGGAAATTAAAATGACAGACTAAAGTTGAATACAACGTGATTGTGGACTATATTGTCAAGAATTATGATTTCTTTATAGTAAGTTTAATGGGGAACTATTTTCTTATTCGCAATGTTCATTTTCCTTGGCAGCTGTTTGTCAGTTGCACTTCCTGTCTTGGACCACTGACATAGAGTCTTTGATATAATCAACTCCAAAAAATGAATATGATAGATACAGTGTACCTATTTTATGCGGTATAAATCCCCCAACCCAGTTTATACCGCATAAAATTGGTAGCTTTTAAATTCATTCCTTGAAAAATTATGTTTTCAAAACAATATTTAATAACAACATTTTTGTAAAGAAATAGAAAACGTTTTAATCTTTAAGTCTGGTGGAGATTTATCTTAGGGAGCAGTTCATCCAAACAACTTTTCATAAAATCATAAATAAATGAACTTATGAATATCTGAAAAGTAAAAAAAAATTAAAACCTAATAACACCATTAAGACGAAGTAAAATACGAATTTTAAAAACTTTTGTTCGGAACCTTTATGTATGCTATCAATGAAGAATTATTTCATTCAGGCAATGGAAAAATAACGCCTTATTATCCGTCTGCATGTTCTAACACAACCAACACTTCTTGATTTCACTTTTTTGGGGTCTCATATAGCAATACACAGATTTTGACTGTCTATCATGGTTTATTTAGATACTTTTCTGGCTCTTATGCGAAGTATATACATGTATAATAAAAAAAAAGAATGGTTTTCAATTCATATTTTTCTGATGGCGAAAACGTTGCAAAAATAAAACTAAATAATTTAATTTTGTTTATATTCTCGCCCTCTCATTGGTTGATTTCCAAAAAGGAACGCAAAATATTTTGTATAATATGGTTTGGTATGGGGACACACACCCTTGACGACCAGCTGAATCATCTTATCCATGCAGTCCCCTTATTTTCAGTATTCGGAATCCATGGAAAATTCAAGATTTAATAACTGTATCTTTAACTTTAAACACTTACTCGATCTAACCTCATGTAAACACACATCATTGTTGCTGGATCTATGTATCAGTTATTACCTCCCCTCGCTTCACATCACTTCCGTTACTGCGGTTGTATAAATGCGCATCGCGGATTATAAAAAAGGCGTAAACTGACCCAAACCAGATTATACTCGATAATTTGGCCAAGAATTAGATTCATTCCTTAAATGTTTTGATTTTCAATGCTCCAAATATATATATATATATACACAGAGCAACTGCAACTACAACGCTTTATGCCGTACATTCTTGTATTCTTGCATTTATGGTCGGACTGTTCAACCGCTGATACAAAATCGCCGCTGAACGTATTATAACATTATTCGGATGAGCAGGTCAACTATTAATGAAATAATTTATGACATTAAGCATTGCTTTGCATCTAATTATATTTGTATCATGAAGCGGTGTTATATCGTTATCGGTTGTTACAAGTCTTTATCATTAAAAAACAATGTTAACCTAGCCCTTTCGGCTCGATAAATCTTTTTCTCCTATATATTAAAATAACAAGAATCAACATAACATCAATTTATTCCCAATTAATCTCAGGTGAGCATTTTGGCCTATAGGTATTTTTATTTTATGTACCCCCTATAATTTTCAACTTTAACCCCCTTCCCCGCACTTTCGCATTTTAACGCATATACCATTTCCTATTTCTAACGCAAAATCAAACATATACCCTTTCCCCGCAATCACGCATTTCACACACTTAAAAAAGTTCATTTAATCTTTATTTTAATGCCAATTTCCTTCAATTTTATATTTTCAAAAATCTCATAAAATAAGAAAGGTATTTTCGAATTAAAATATTACGTCATGAAATTATTTACGCTAAACCAGAGAGAAAGTGCGCCACGCTATAAGGTTCTTGCGGGGAAGTGGTAAATTTCTATTCTATGACGTGAACATTAAGTGTATGTTGCAGAACAGTCCAACAAGTTGTAAAGAGTTAATCAACAAGGGGGTATTTATTATACGAGGTCATTTTTCTTCACGTGGGGTATGAGAATTTTTAGGGTGGTGACACTTTTTCTACGGCCAAAACAGTCAGTTTACGACGTCGAATTATCACCGGAATCATTTTTCCTCGTAGTAAAAAAATGACCGGGAATCATTTTTCGCCGTAGAAAAATGACCCCAGTCATTTTCTATAAGGGTCATTATTTTTTTTAAACCGGCAAATATGGCGCGTTTCTACTTTATGATTTACCAAAAAAAAAAAATCTTTCGAACAAGTTGAAAATTACAAATCAAATTCAACCCAAAAAATAGCACCATCAAATATCTTTATTATACCTCTATTGATAATAATTGAATTTGATTTGCTGGAAAGAAAAATTTAAAACACAACAATGACTCAAAATGGTACTGTTTACAGCAAAAATGACCTAGGAATCATTGCACGTGAAATATAATGACCAGTCATTATAATTAACTCTTATAAAAAATTCCATTTTGAGTAAAATTAATGCATAAAATAATAATTATTCGAGAAAAAAATGTTTTTAAAATTGTCCATGGTCTGTTTTGCATTACCAAACAGAATATGGTAAAATTTTATCGTAAACGGTTTATCAATTCAAAATATCGTTACAATTTAGTTCCATTGAATGTAGAAGCGGCTCTCTAAAGAGTTGAATTCTGTGCTAGATTTTGACCGTGTAGAGGAAAAGTAATCGCTAGTTATAGCAATGTATGTCGCTATCAACCAAATATTGTTTTAATCAGTAAATCATGCTGCAAAAACTTACATGACTTGCAGACGTAAATGTAAACATCCTCACTATACGGAGTGAAGCGAACCCCAATCACGATCAAAGAAAGAATTGATAGCAGTGTGTGATTCATAGTTTTGAATTACATGTATATCGGTATAATAAACAATTGATTACCCCTTGTTAGTTCAACATGGTGAAATAAGTACCCTCGACATGGCTCACTCGATGATCTGCATTGACCTCGGCCGCTACGCGGCCTTGGTCAGGTCAGGTCACCTCGTGGGCCAGGTCTCTGGTCCTTATTTGAACATGTTGACTTTAAAAGAGGTAATTAATTGTATATTCATTGCCCAATATAAAAAAAATGATTTTACAGAATCTTTTATTGAAAGCCAGACTTGATTGCATTGTTATTTAAAAACTTCTGTATTCTTTTATTTATTCTATAGCTATCGGTTTTTTTTTTCATATTTGCATTGCTTACGTCTATTGTCGCAGTTAAATCTAAAATGATGTTTAACCATGAATATTGCATTGTTAAAAGTAATTTATTAACCTGCAAGGATTTTAAAAAAGAATGTAATAACATCAATATTTTAAATGTCTTTTTTCTGTTTTTTATAATAGTATTTTGTTAATTTTCTGCTGACGACAGTCAGTTTGAGGTCTAATTATCAATTTTTAAATATTTTTTTCTAGTCATTAAACATTTGGTGTCTTATCTTAAAAAATAACTCATCGCTTTTAAGGCAAAAGAAGGGTCGCCAAGAAAAAGTTGTACCTATCCCTTCTCCAAACGAGCTTCTCAGAAGGACGCACTGACAAGTCATTTAAAGGCCGAAGTCATCAGAAGTGTAGGACTCATTTATGTTGATGGACATCCGGTAGGAACAGGGTTCCGTGTGGGAGAAAAGTACATCATGACCTGTCTTCATGTCATCAAAAAGATTATTCAAGGTAAATTGTATTGAGCAAAAAAAAGTTCTATGAAATAATAAAAATATTATAATAAAGACAGTTTTAAGAAAGTTTTAACTGCATTTAGCTTATTTTTACCTCTAAAGAACTTTATACGGTAATAACAAATATTTGCCCCCCCCCAATCAAACTTTGATGGAGATATATTTAATTAAGTTCTTAAACAGAGGAGTATATGCCGACTTCAAAGCACTGGATATTTTCATTAGAAACAACGACATATGTACGTAATGACGTCACAAACATGACGTACATTTCAAGTTATTATAGGAATGACTCTAATTTTTGGCCAAATTATTCGATGATAACCTGATTTGGGTCAGTTTACGCTTTATAATCCGCGAAGTGGATAATCTGCGAATCCGCGAAGCGGATTATAAAAAAAGCGTAAACTGACCCAAACCAGGTTATGATTAAATAATTTGGCCAAGAATTAGAGTCATTCCTTATAATTTAATTTTTAAATAATTAGACAACTGTGGATGTAAAATTGTGCTGCTTTTTAAGAGTTCAAATTTGCCGCGCAATAATACATCCCTAGTAACGGAAGTGATTTGAAACAAGGGGACGTAATAACTTAAGGGGACGTAATAACAGATCTAGCAGCCATGATGTTTGTTTACACGAGGTAAGAGCGAGCTACTGTTTGAAGTTAAAAGTAAAAATTTATTAAATTTAGAATTTTCCATGGACTGGAAATGTGGGATTGCATAGATACAAATGAATCAGCTGGTTGTCAAGGGGGTGTGTCCCCATACCAAACCAGGTTATTACGTTTTATTCTAGTGTTCCTTTTTGGAAATCAACCAATGAGAGACTAGAATATTATCAAAATTAAATTATAATGAATTTTACAGAAATATGTACATATTTCGTCGATATTTTGAGTAAAAGTCACCGAGCGCATGTGTGTTCAGGATTAATATTTTGATATAATGTGTAGAATGATAATAACAATGAATTATGTCAATATTGTTCCTGAACAAACTTGCACTCTATAAATTTTAGAGCTATGAAATTTTGTTAATTTTATCCTCTTTCTGAAAAAGGATATAAAATCGGACTAGTTTGTGACGTCATAAAAACAAAAATTGTAAATACACTGCTTTGACACTATAATATTTTCTGTTAATTTATATTTCTCATACAATTTTTTGAATTCAGCATATTTCGGGAAGTTTTCAAAATGATAGTCGATTGGGTGTTTGTTTGAAAAGGGGATGTCCTACTACCAAAACGAAAAACGGGGGTTGCTCGATATGTATTGTGTCAAATAGACATTATATCCCTTCTAGGTATTCCCCGTGATTTGAAATACACAATTTTATTCTCCGAATCCATCTCTGAAATGCGTCACGGTACGCTGATTTAGGTATACCTCTGAGGCACTGACAGACGGCTGAGCCAAGGGCCTGTCGGGAATTGTATCGACGACCAGATAAGAACTTTTTAAGTTTTGGAAAAAGGAAAAAGTCGCATGGTGCTAGATCCGGAGAGTATGGTGGGTGTGGCAAGACGATAACCTTCTCAAACTTAAAAAATGCTTCACAAGCTCAGATGTATACAAGTGATGAAGCATTATCATGAAAAAGGCAAACATGCCTAGATCCCGACACAGGACGTCGTTTCTGATAATATTTCTTGAGTTTTTTCAGCTAATACCGACGACTTGTAACACTTTTGCCCTTCGGCACCGGAATTTGTACGGCTAAACCATCACAAGAGAAGAATGTGCAATAAAGGACCTTCTTTGTGCTCATTGTCCTTTTGACAACTACAGGCCTTCTACCGTGTTTGGTTAGCCATAATTTGTTTCAAATTTTTCTTCCTGGTTCGAAATAGTGAACCCATGTTTCATCACCAGTAACTATGTTTGCAAATTGTCTTTGATTGATGTTTGGAAACATTTTTAGCAGTCGCTTAGCGGTTTGTATTCGTACCTTTTTTTGGTCATCTGTCAATATATGGGTTTCCATCTGGCAGAAATCTTTCGTACTTTCAAATTACGCTTCAAAATGCAATGCACCCGCGATAGCTATATGCCAACAGCTTTGGCAATATCATGAATCGTGTACCTGCCTTCAATTTCAATTATTTCCTTGACTTTTGAGACATTTGTATTGCCTCATACAGTCACAGGTCGTCCCAATTTTGCTGCATCTTTGACGGACTCTTTGCCAGTCAGAAATTTCCGTCTCCCCCTACGAACTGTGTCATAAAATACCTCAGTAAAAATCTGCTTTACCGAATTACCGAGTTTTGTGCAAACTTTTATATAAGCTTAAATTTCTTCAATATTCTCAACCGTTTCCCAACCATTTTTACAACAGTGGTCAACGACTGGCTCTATTGAAATGACGATTATTTTACAGCCATGTGTAGTTGAAGGGTCGTGTTTATACTGTTGGCAAGGTATTGAATAGAGTTATCCAGGCGTATAAATATCGATGAAATTGTGCAAGGTGTTTTCGCGCTGTTGTACGCAATACACACAGCATATCGAACAACCCTCGTACTAGTTCGAGTATTTACGAAAGTTATCATTTTGCTAAATGCATTACATTGCTGACTGAGTTTTCGAAAAAAAAAATCAACGAGTTCTAATTATGGCATACTTTTATTTCCCCATTTTCCTTCCAAAAATTCTTTTTTAAATAAAATTACCATCATTAAACTACCTGAGTATTAAATTTCAAATTGGTCATAGATTAAAAACCTACAGAAGGAACATATGGTCTACCTGATGACATTAATATTGTCTGTAAAATTTATATGAATATTGTTGCTTAATTAATCCCTGGTTAAATAATTATGAGAATGTGTTAATTTCAGGGATAGGGTAATTGAAATTTTATAATAAATATAATATACAGTACTGTATTTAAAGACAAAATGAACTTCCACAAGTATTTAATCTTTTTGTGACATATTTGAAATAGAAAACATAAATCATTCGACAAAAACATTCTTCATGAAAAAAATCAGTCAACTAATAACGAAGCATATTTTTATTTCCTAAGGGAATTCCAAAGTGATTAAATTGTTGCTGTTCACCACAAACTGCATTATTTCAGGTTGTAAAATACAAAAATATTTTTGAAACATGATACTGATAAGAAAACTAGAATCCATTGGCAAAAGTGACTCTCATTATCAAATTCACATGAGATGGATACGAAACACAGGACACATGATATTAAAAAAAATTATATAAAACTTCCAGTTTTGACAAAATTTTCATTTGAATTGTACATGAAGAATATATTGCATCGTGCAAAGAAAAGGTCACATGAAAGTACTAAAAAAGAATTATGTGAATATCGATCATACCAATTCACATGATTGATATTCGCATGAAACTTCTTTTACAAGATTTTTGCAAACTTCAAATCAAGAGAAATTAAATAAAAATAAAAATATCATGTTAAACAGGTCCCTTGGACTTTATCCGATTTGAGAGGGTTTACATACAGTTCGAGAGGATGATTTACCTTCAGAACACTGATGAGAGAAAAATATTCCATTTTGAGCCGAGCATTGTATACAAGCATGAAGGATTTGATGTTGCTTTGTTAGAATTAAAAAAACAGGAAATCCAGTTCCCCCCACCTTTAACTTTATTTGGTGCAAATTGCCTTTCATCTGAAGAAGTTCACCTTATCGGCCATCCAGGTGGCGCTCAGATGAAAGAGGACAGTGAAGTATATCCAAGTGTTATTGAGCCAAACAATGATGTTGATAAGTATATCAAGGAGCTTAGTGATTGGAGCAGGGAAAAGTTTATGAACAATGTAGATTACTACTCAAGATTGCGTGAATTGCCAAGAAAAATTCTTTTTCACACAACGTTTGACCAAGGATCATCAGGGTCCCCTGGCATTTTGATTAGGAATCACAAACCCTGTGTTGTACTAATTGTGGCTGGCGGGGTTCCCTCTGTTTATTATGAAGATGGGGTATATGTGGAACCGGAGAAGCGGGTTGAGTTTGGATATGCCTTGAGAGATGTATTTGATGAAATGCAAATGGATGGAAATGACAAAAAATTATCATCAGAAATTTTCAAAGAATGGATCTCTTAGAATGTACACATAGGTGTGATTAAAGTTAAGATATAATAATCATCAAATGTGCCATTTTTGCAATTATGTGTAACAATATTTCCTTATTGAAAAAAGTTGATTTTCTCTTTTTCCGAAAAGAATCTAAAGCATCCAACGTTTCAACAAAACTTGGACTCTATTTTACTTCAATCGCGGGAAAGTTTCAATGAATATTACCTTAAGATTGTTTTATATGGACTATGTATATTTCAATTAACGTTTGTGACATAAAAATAACAATCATACTTTTACTTGAAATTTTAATGTATTCCCAATTTTGCCAAGATTGTTGAAAGACCCTAGTTGTGGACGAATAATTTTGAGTTTGCTAATGACTTAAATCCTTGAATATTCTTTTGATTTGTACATTTACCATTATATTGTAATCATTTTTACCATTATTTCAATGCCTATTCATTTTTTTAAATATTCATGTAGTTAGAATATCCTCATTTTTAACATTTGGTGCAGTGCTTTAAGATGTTTTATTTGATTTCCTCAATACGTAATCAAAACTCATATCTTTTATATAACTTTAATCAATTTATGATATAATTCAGTAATTTTGTATTACTTTCAGTTTCATTAAAAGTGTCCGCATGCCGTAAAGATCACCGTACCATAGGCGGATCAAGGAATTTGCCAAAGGGGGGGTCCAACATTTTGACCTATTAGGTAATGTCTGCAACATCTACCGCTCCCAATTTTCACCCCACTGCCTAGATCCATCCTGCGGACAAAATGTTTAAACTTGATATATTTAAGGAATAACTGTCTTATTTTTAGAATTCATGAAGTGATCAATGGATTGGCTTGTGAGATAATTTGCATAAACGCCATAGGCTTTGATTCCGCCAATCCACGGGCTCCAAGCCTGCTTCTCTCTAGGTGTTGTCCCGCCCTGCACGTGGTTTTTTTTGGAACCGCGCCAAAATATTCATGAGGAAATCAATTACATTTACAATTTGTAATTTTATCTCGGACATGCAAAGACATTGGAAATGTAAATATTCAGCGGTAAACGGAGATATAATACATTTACATTTTCAAATATCATCAAAAAAATTGTAGACGGGAAAGTAAAATAGGCAATCATGGTAAGTAAGAATCTATATGATAAAATTATTAACTTTTCCCCCGAAAACTAGCAAAATAAAGTCCCATAACGGTAATATAATTCAGTCAAAAGTATGTCAAACGTAATGAATATACTTGTTCTGTGTATTCAAGGCACAGTGCAAAGAAAAATCCGGAAAATCGCAATCGGAAGGACAGACAGGTGGAAAGATGGACCGAGAGTAAACTAGCACCCCTTCCTCTTCTCAGCAAAGCGAGAAAGGGAGACTATATAAATACAAAACAATTGTTTGATATAAACCCAGTATCACACTGTTGTGATCAGGCCTAGAGTCACAAATATTTATAGAATGCTCTATCAACTTTAGACATTTACTTTTCTGGTCAATTATACTGGAGTGAGAGATCTAACAGAAATATCGTAAAACTCTATAGATGCATTTATCATAAAAAATGTACGGTATGAACTTTGATGCACCAGATGCGCATTTCGACAAGTCTCTGCAGTGATGCTCAGACCAAAAATTATTGGAAATCTTAAAAAGATAAAGAGCTACAAGCATGGATCGAAAGTGCCGAACATGAGCCAAAATCCGAACAAGGACCAGAGCTATGCCCAAGGACGTCCTTTATTTCTAAAATTTATCACATTAAAATTTATAAATCTGTTTCATTCTAGCACTGACTGGATTATTAGACAAAACTGGGCTTATGAATACCCTCGGGGACTAAAAGTCCACCAGCAAAGGCAAATTATTAATATTAATATTAATTTTCAGTTATAATTCTCTCTTTGCTAAAAGGATATACTATTTCGATAATACATTTTTTTATTTCGTAGGCACACATAACAAAAAAAAAATGGACTCCCCCTTTCAAAAGGAATATTAATAGCTGACTCTATCTAAAGATAAAAATCAATGATAGACCCCTCCCCCACACCGTGCCGTTCACAAACTTGAGAGTTTAAGCATGTTTGGGGTATTTTATCAAAATTAATGAAATTTATAATCACGTTCATTACCACCCCACGTGCAGTTTTGAAACGTGACGTTTATGTGATAAATATAGTATAATAGGCCCCTATGTGTTTTATGAAATTTTTGGGTCCGCGGAAAAGGGGGGGTCCGGACCCCCTGGACCCCCCCTCTGGATCCGCCCTTGCGTACTCTCTGTTTTGCTATTCAAAGCCCGATTATCGAAAAGAAATTCACGTCAACTTCACAAAAGTTCAATAATATTTTAAAGCATAATTTTTGGAAATAAAAATTGATATGAGAAAATACTATATTAGGCTCTTAGACGTACGTAAATTTTTATCTTTCAAATATTATCATGACCAAAATGCTTAATAATTTTTATTAAAGAATAATACATAAAACTACTCTTTTTAAAAAGCAGTAACCAGGAAAGTGGTACATGTAATTAAAGGAATACTCTTAGTAGCTTACGGTCACAAACTCACCGTGTTATACCTTACAAAATTCTATTGTAATAAAATTATGAAGCTTATTATGCTTTCTATCATCAATATTTACATTCCATGATTATGTGTGGAAATAATCTTCTTTTGTAAGAATAAATTTCATTTCTTGTACACATGCATGAAATAAAGTGTAAATTCTATTTTATGATATTCATTTTATGGTAAGTTACTAGTTAGTCATCTCTGCACAATATGAATATTTGCAATAAACAGAGAGGAAAAATCTGTAAGAAACGTAATAAATATTTTTTTCCGGAATGGAATTTAAATGTTCTTTAGAATAAGAACATTAACATATCACGAAATTATTTTAGAAAGGGAACTATGAGTTCCTCTAAAAATGCAGCAGAAAGCATCTCCTAGAATGAAACATGAACAACAAGACAGGAACATGATTTTACTAAAAAATATCCTACAGAAAAGAAAAAAAAACATAAACACAGAATGAAATATGTCCATTCTAAAGCAAGGGAATATAAATAGTCTAGTAAATTGGCTTAAAAATCAAAATGCATTTCCAATGAAGTATTTTTAATAACGTAAATATAACAGATGAACACTAAAAAGTGATTTATTCATGCCAACATATTTATAACAAAATGCGACATCATTTTCAGTACACAGTGCACTGAAGTACTTTCAATCACGGCTAAGAAACTTTGAAAAATTGGCCTACAATGTAACATAATCTTTAGAGAAAGGACAGTTTTTTTTTCAACAATTGATGTTAAAAATGAGTACTGCAGCTTTATGCAATAAACAAATGGCAATTCCCATTTAATAAATTTTATTCTTATATTTTGGGGTGTAATACAAATATTTCAAAAAAATACAAGCACAATAACTATGATTATGTTTAACAGAATGCTTAAAAACGGTTTCATCATTCCATTGATTATCAATCTTTAGCCAGCATTTGATTGGAGCACTACTTGATTGACATTACTTGACCACGCCCTTAGATCCAGGTCCCATCCTTTGAGTACTACAGATTGTACAACGCTTCTACAGTGAAAGAAAATTCAATGACTATAAGAGTAAAGCAAACAAATAGGACAAGAAAAAATACGTCTAATATAACACTCACTATGAAAATGTATATCAATTAATATACTTTTGTACCCAAGTGTATGAGAGGGTGAGACAAAATTTTGTCCTACTTCTGTTTTGAAATGAAGGAAAAATTACCATTGAGTTTGTGGGTAAACAATCGTCGTGGAATGCATGTTTACAGTGGAATAAAACAACATTGCTGGCATATCTCAAATCTACGAAACTGCAGTAAACTGATATTTACTCATTATTAGATATAAACTTGGCCAAAATGGATTCAATGCATAAAAATATTAAAACAGACCATAATTGGGGATTATTTTGAAAATTTAAATGAAATTCATTTGATAAAATTAATTTTATATCCCATATTTTACAACTGACATGATTTTAAAGATGTAATAACACATGATTACTTATATAAATAAATTTATGACGATATCAATTTCATAACTTAAACTTAACATGATTCTTAAGATTAGCCAAAAAGTATAACCCACCTGTTACTATGATCCGCTGTTGACAAATAAGACAAGACTGACTACCTGGTAAAAACAAATATCATTTATATACATACCTGAAAACGTAAAATTTTTATGCCTACAACAAAATATGAACTCCCTTTATATCAGCCCTTGCATTAGAATCACTGCCTGGCCATTGCATTGTAAATTATTTCCAATACAATACTTCAAAATCCAAATATTAACCACTCCAAGGAACCCAAGCCACTCATTCACCCCATCCCATATTGTCATACATAATAATATCTACAGCTATCCCTCTTCTGTGTTTTTAACCTGTTTCTCCAGTAAGTTAAAGCTGTCCTCTTCTCTGAGTTTTGACCAGTCTGTCTAGTAAGTTAAAGCTGTCAATCACTCATTAACCCCGCCCCCATCTTATTGTCATACATACTGTCCACAGCAACTCCTCTTCTCTCTGTTTTGACCAGTCTGTCTAGTAAGTTAAAGCTGTCAGTCACTCATTAACCCGACCCCAATTATATTGTCATACATACTGTCTCAACTACCCCTCTTCTCTGTGTTTTGACCAGTCTGTCTAGTAAGTTAAAGCTGTCAGTCATTCATTAACCCCACCCCCATTATATTGTCTAGTAAGTTAAAGCTGTCAGTCACTCATTAACCCCACCCACTATATTGTCTAGTAAGTTGAGAATATACCCCTCTTCTCTGTGTTTTGACCAGTCTGTCTAGTAAGTTAAAGCTGTCAGTCACTCATTAACCCCACCCCCATTATATTGTCATACATACTGTCCACAGCAACCCCTCTTCTCTGTGTTTTGACAAGTCTGTCTAGTAAGTTAAAATTGTCAGTCACTCATTAAGCCCACCCCTATTATATTGTCTAGTAAGTTAAAGCTGTCAATCACTCATTAACCCCGCCCCCATCTTACTCGGCTATGTTAAGGAAGGTCAGAGTTCACATTCCTTGTACATCGTATTGGAAGTTTAATTGTGACGTCATTAAAATCTAACAAGCTAAAAAATTAATTAACGACATGATCATGCGTAAATAACAATTTGAATTTATCTATTTTATCGATTATTCATAAAATCTCGTAAAATTGCAATACTGGATAGCGATACAGTCGAGTAATAGAAGAAAGCCTTTTGTCAAATATGACGTCATCAGCCTTGAGATGACGCAGCACAAGTGATCCGGAGGAGTAAATTCACTGGTTTAATAATTACAAGAATGCTTAAATAAACATGATATCATTGCTAATTTTTAGACCTAATCATTAAAACTAAAAGAAAATAATTTATTAGATACATTGTGTATAGAATATGAATTTATCTAGTAGCATTGAAGCTGCACAGGGATAAGGAATATAGAGAATATCGCTAAAAGGATGAGCGTAGTCGTGATATACATCAAAAGTGCAAGGGCATAGACTATTTTGTTTGAGCTGAAATTTGGAATATTTATTGCTCATATAGTGTATATTTTGAAAAGTGCTGGGAGCTGATCCTGGTCTGCGTAACATTAATTTTATTTATAACAGAATTTAATTGAAGTGGAAATTTTTAGCTATTATAAGCATTTTCGGCAAAATTTTAAGTACATTACAAACAGCACTGACAAGCTCCCAGCACTTTTTGGGTAGAGGATATAAACCTCTTTTAATTTGTATCAATTATTTTCTTGAAAAACAAGCGAATGCCCTTGCACTATCCACATTTCCTACATTCAGCTTAACAATTCTATTTTTATAAAAGTCACGTGACAAACAGCTGATACGTGCGATATAACTGGTAATAACTACGGCCCAGTCCTATCCATTATTGATAGCTATATTTCCTTTTCTACAAGTATTCAGTTGCTTTGTTAAATTTTTTTAAAAGAAGCAATACATATTAAAACGGTGCAAAGGTCACATTTTTCATATCGGTCCTTAACATAGCTGAGTATTGTCATACATACTGTCTACAGCTACCCCTCTTCTCTGTGTTTTGACCAGTCTGTCTAGTAAGTTAAAGCTGTTAGTCACTCATTAACCCGACCCCAATTATATTGTCATACATACTGTCCACAGCAACCCCTCTTCTCTGTGTTTTGACCAGTCTGTCTAGTAAGTTAAAGCTGTCAGTTACTCATTAACCCCGCCCCCATTATATTGTCATACATACTGTCTACAGCTACACCTCTTCTCTGGGTTTTGACCAGTCTGTCTAGTAAGTTAAAGCTGTTAGTCACTCATTAACCCGACCCCAATTATATTGTCATACATACTGTCTACAGCTACCCCTCTTCTCTGTGTTTTGACCAGTCTGTCTAGTAAGTTAAACAGAACATGAAATGCTCCCATTAAGCTTGACTTAATGGTAGCTTATAGGTGCTTAATGGTGGCTTAAAAGCTGCCTTTAAACAACCATTAAGCCACCATTAAGCACCTATAAGCCACCAGTAAGCTTCCATTAAGTAACCATTAAGCCACCATTAAGCCAAATTTCTAACTTAATGGTGGCTTAATGGTTACTTAATGGTGACTTACAGGTTCTTAATGGTTACTTTTAGACCACCATTAAGTCACCATTAAGCCACCATTAAGGTAGACTTACAGGTGCTTAATGTCCAAACTCCATTAAGCAACCATTAAGCTACCATTAAGCCACCATTAAGTCACATTACGCAGTCGATTATATTGTTTATATGGATGAAAAATTATTTTTATAGTGATTTGTTATCATTATTATAAATGTAGAGTTCGTTTTATCTTGATTTGGTAAAAATAATAAAAAAGAACGAAATTCAAAATCAAAAAAAAAAAATCGCCGCAGTGGGGGCGCAAACCCATGATCTTAGGTTTCGTAGGCCAACGCCTTATCCATTACGCTATCGCCGCTCCTGAATAAGTGGGGAAAATATTAAATATTTAACCTTTATTTTTTTTCAAAATTTATTTGGATTTGTTAAGGTTTTTACTAGAATTTTGTTGATCATTTCCAAACATCTTGAATTGGTTTATTAATCAAAATATAAACAATTTTATTTTGGATCTTAACACATTAATATATATATTTCTACACAGAGTTTGGATTTTAGTTTGATGTAGTGTGATTGAGTTCTTCGCTCTCTTAGTGTTATTACGAAAGGATTTTCGAAATGTAAGCATTAAATCATGATTGAAGAAAAATTAATTATAGATAAAACACAAAAGTCTATCATCGAAAAAGAAAGAGGAAAAAACAGATTCTACTATTATTTTTAATATACTGCGGATATTAACGGTTTCTGTGTCAACAATTTAGTGACAATCCTCGCATAGGAGTTACCTGGTTAATTACGTTTACAAAAACTTTTTTTAGAATATCATATTCAGTTTCAATTCTTTTTGTATCATAATGGGTATCAAAATAATTGACTTTTTACGAGGAATCATAATTTTTGATTTGTTATATGCTTGTGTTAAATTTTTTTTTTTTTTTAATAATTGATTATTAAAATCTGTCAGTGTACGTTGTGTATGTATAGTTTCCTGTTAGTTAACCGGGGACGGGTGACACCTAATTAAGGTCTATTGTCTGACCAGCCGGTTTTCTGTACATGGATTATCTGTTAATCCTACCCCGTTTCTTAATGTGTATACATCTGGTCGGATGTCATGTTTAATCTGACCGGCCGTTCCTCTGAAAATCGATTTTGAAATTATAACAATCATTGAAGACCGACTAGATTTTTACAGATACTTACCGCTGCATTTATAAAAAAAATTGATTAATTAAAATTATTCATGATGTAAAATCCATTAAAAAGTTTTTCATGGTAAAAGTCAATTTTTGAAAACTAGACATTTGTATACCAGTAGCCCCCCCCCCCCCCCAAAAAAAGAACTTTTTTTCATGAGATCATATATTTATATTCCTGTGAATTCTGTAGCGGAATGTTTCTTTTGACATATGAAATAAAATTACCATTTTAATAAAGTAATATATATTTTGTGTTCGGAATATAGATAATTCTAAAAACAAATTGATTTTTGGTATTGTACAATTAAGATAGTTCACAAGGACTTTCTCACGGTGTGTAATAATTATTTATTTTTAAAAATCATATACACAAAAAATAAAAACAACACATTAAAAAAGTTAATTTAAAAATAAAAATAATATACAGTTCTGATACATGATGTCTTGTTTAATTATCACTGTAAATGATTTTAAGAAAAAATTAGACATCTCGAGCAAGCCCCTGTAGCTATAAGCTAACTTCGTTCCCAGTGATCAAGTTTATGCATGTTGACAAAAAACTCGTAGAAATTATGATCGAGACAGAATTATGAGATGGAATAGATTTTGTACGTAAATGATATTAAAATAACTAAAAGCTAGTTCAAAAATTCTATATAAGATGCGTAAAAGTTTAATGAGGGTTGACCATTAAGTCACCATTAAGCTCAGCTTAATGGTGGCTTAATGGTAGCTTAATGAAGTTTGGACATTAAGCACCTGTAAGTCTAGCTTAATGGTGACTTAATGGTGGCTTAAAGGAATTAACTTCTTTAAGCCACCATTAAGTCACCATTAAGCGATTGCTTAAAGCTAGTCATTCGTCTTGTGAAAGCTGTCAGTCACTCATTAACCCGACCCAAATTAAATTGTCATACATACTGTCTACAGCTACCCCTCTTCTCTGTGTTTTGACCAGTCTGTCTAGTAAGTTAAAGCTGTTAGTCACTCATTAACCAGACCCCAATTATATTGTCATACATACTGTCTACAGCTACCCCTCTTCTCTGTGTTTTGACCAGTCTGTCTAGTAAGTTAAAGCTGTCAGTCATTCATTAACCCCACCCCCATTATATTGTCTAGTAAGTTAAAGCTGTCAGTCACTCATTAACTCCGCCCCCATCTTATTGTCATACATACTGTCCACAACAACTCCTCTTCTCTCTGTTTTGATCAGTCTGTCTAGTAAGTTAAAGCTGTCAGTCACTCATTAACCCGACCCCAATTATATTGTCATACATACTGTCTACAGCTACCCCTCTTCTCTGTGTTTTGACCAGTTTGTCTAGTAAGTTAAAGCTGTCAGTCATTCATTAACCCCACCCCCATTATATTGTCTAGTAAGTTAAAGCTGTCAGTCACTCATTAACCCCACCCACTATATTGTCTAGTAAGTTGAGAATATACCCCTCTTCTCTGTGTTTTGACCAGTCTGTCTAGTAAGTTAAAGCTGTCAGTCACTCATTAACCCGACCCCAATTATATTGTCATACATACTGTCTACAGCTACCCCTCTTCTCTGTGTTTTGACCAGTCTGTCTAGTAAGTTAAAGCTGTCAGTCACTCATTAACCCGACCCCTATTATATTGTCATACATACTGTCTACAGCTACCCCTCTTCTCTGTGTTTTGACCAGTTTGTCTAGTAAGTTAAAGCTGTCAGTCATTCATTAACCCCACCCCCATTATATTGTCTAGTAAGTTAAAGCTGTCAGTCACTCATTAACCCCACCCCCATTATATTACAATACATACTGTCCACAGCAACCTCTCTTCTCTGTGTTTTGACCAGTCTGTCTAGTAAGTTAAAGCTGTTAGTCACTCATTAACCCCGCCCCTATCTTATTGTTATACATACTGTCAACAGCAATCCCTCTTCTCGATGTTTTCACTAGTCTGTCTAGTAAGTTAAAGCTGTTAGTCACTCATTAACCCAAACCCGTCATATTGTCATACATACTGTCTACAGCTACCTCTCTTCTCTGTGTTTTGACCAGTCTGTCTAGTAAGTTTAAGCTGTCAGTCACTCATTAACCCCGCCCCCATCTTATTGTCATACATACTGTTTACAGCGACCTCTCTTTTCGGTGTTTTGATCAGTCTGTCTAGTAAGTTAAAGCTGTCAATCACTCATTAACCCTGCCCTATCACATTGTATGTAAGTTAAAGGTGTCAGTCACTCATTCACCCTGCCCCCATCACATTGTATGCAAGTTAAAGCTGTCAGTCACTCATTAATCCTGCCCCCATCATATTGTCATACATATTGTCTACAGCAACCCTTTTCTCTTTGTTTTGACCAGTCTGTCTAGTAAGTTAAAGCTGTCAATCACTCATTAACCCCGCCCCCATCTTATTGTCATACATACTGTCCACAGCAACTCCTCTTCTCTCTGTTTTGACAAGTCTGTCCAGTAAGTTAAAGCTGTCAGTCACTCATTAACCCGACCCCTATTATATTGTCATACATACTGTCTAGAGCTACCCCTCTTCTCTGTGTTTTGACTAGTCTGTCTAGTAACTTAAAGCTGTCAGTCATTCATTAACCCTACCGCCATTATATTGTCTAGTAAGTTAAAGCTGTCAGTCACTCATTAATCCCACCCCATTATATTGTCTAATAAGTTGAAGCTGTCAATCACTCAATAACCCCACCACATTATATTGTCAAACATACTGTCTACAGCTACCCCTCTTCTCTGTGTTTTGACCAGTATGTCTGGTAAGTTAAAGCTATCAGTCACTCATTAACCCCACCCCCATTATATTGTCATACATACTGTCCACAGCAACCCCTCTTCTCAGTGTTTTGACAAGTCTGTCTAGTAAGTTAAAGCTGTCAGTCACTCATTAACCCCACCCCCATTATATTGTCTAGTAAGTTAAAGCTGGCAATCACTCATTAACCCCGGCCCCATCTTATTGTCATACATACAGTCCACAGCAATCCCTCTTCTCGATGTTTTCACTAGTCTGTCTAGTAAGGTAAAGCTGTTAGTCACTTATTAACCCAAACCCCATCATATTGCCATACATACTGTCTACAGCAACCTCTCTTCTCTGTGTTTTGACCAGTCTGTCTAGTAAGTTAAAGCTGTCAATCACCCATTAACCCCGCCCCATCATATTGTCATACATACTGTTCACAGCGACCCCTCTTTCTTGTGTTGTGACCAGTCTGTCAATTAAGTTAAAGCTGTCAGTCACTCATTAACCCTGCCCCATCACATTGTATGTAAGTCAAAGCTGTCAATAACTTATTAACCCTGCCCCCATCACATAGTATGCAGGTTAAAGCTGTCAATCACTCATTAACCCTGCCCCCATCACATTGTATGCAAGTTAAAGCTGTCAGTCACTCATTAATCCTGCCCCCATCATATTGTCATACATACTGTCTACAGCAACCATTTTCTCTGTGTTTTGACCAGTCTGTCTAGTAAGTTAAAGCTGTCAGTCACTCATTAACCCTGCCCCATCACATTGTATGTAAGTCAAAGCTGTCAATAACTTATTAACCCTGCCCCCATCACATAGTATGCAGGTTAAAGCTGTCAATCACTCATTAACCCTGCCCCCATCACATTGTATGCAAGTTAAAGCTGTCAGTCACTCATTAATCCCCCCCCCATCATATTGTCATACATACTGTCCACAGCTACTCGTCTTCTCTGTGTTTTGACCAGTCTTTCTAGTAAGTTAAAGCTGTCAGTCACCAGAATTCTCCTACAACCCTCTCTCAGTGATATCCGTCAACAGGAAAATAAGGTAATGCGAAAATAATAATTCCTGGAACTGTTAAATGTACATTGTTTTTATCGTTTGCAATACTTATCAAATCAATGACATTTTGTTCTGAAACTTGTCCAGAATGAAATGTGTGTCTGGAAAAGATGAAGAGATTCATGTAACTATAATTTCGCATTGAAAAACTCAAAACTTAACTTAAAGGAGCAGGATAAATGACCCAAGGAATGAGAGATATCAACCAATGTCTGGAAATAAGTGAAAGTAGGATAAAATTACTAACAAGCAGAGTGGATAGCCTGGAAAACAAAACAGGTGAACACCAACTTAATTTTCTAACTCCAAATAGAAGAATCAAAGCTCCGATGTACATGTACCACTGTATAAGCAACATGAACACTCACCACTGGTGTAAAAAATAGATTATATGTTCTTAAAATTACTTTAAAAGAATAATTAGTCGAAATTATCCTTCAAAGAAAGCTAAATTAAGTGAGTACATAGACCTTAGAAGAATTAATTATTACACAACCACAAATGAAGACATAAAAACTAAAGGACATCACCTCTCTTTACAATTACTATACTACTAATATATATCTACAATAAATCTACAAACGGCAGGAATTGGGAAAATGAATGAAGAAATGTTGAAATGAAATAAATGAAGATAAAATAACATAATAAATAAATAAAACATTATATTTAAATTCTTATAATCAAAGTGGTGTGAACAACACATTCCTGCCTGTGAATTATAGTCCTGGAAGATCTTACCCAGTGAGTCCCTTAATCCAAGGATTTCCATTCCTTAATCTTCTTGATGTAGATTATAATCCTTGAATATTTTAACCAAGGAGTCCCTAAATCCTGAGATTTCCAGTTCATTCTGGATTTGAGGAATTAGTCTGATAGGATCCACGTGAGTCCCAATAGAACAGTTCCATAATCTTTTATTTTGATTTGCTACTTTTACATCCTTTGTTAATTAATGTAAGCTAGGGAACGGAGAGAATTGGATGAAATAAATAGGGTGGAATCTTAATTCGATGACGTCTGCTCATAAAGAAAATAATGGGATGCAAACATTATCTTTTGTGGTAATAATTCGTCACTAAATCTTGCATATTAGATAAACTGGAGTGTTCTACAGTATGTAGTGACTGCAATGGAATTATTTCAACATAACGGGTTAAACATACACTTAATTAAGGACGTGGTCTTAAATGGTTTATCAATGCTGAATTGAATGAGATCCGCCCACAGTTCCTTGTCATTCTTGTCCATACAAAACTCAAATGCCAGGGAAACGTCCTTCAACTTTAAAGATATAGTGTCCGAATATTAATGTTGTTCAACTTAACGCTTGCTTTTGTAGTCTGTCCTGTTCTGTTTGAGGTCAAAACATTTTCTAAATATATCTATCAATGTTTTCCTTTTTTTTGCTGCATACTAACAATTCTTGCAAAATAATAAGCCTTGAACGTTTTTTAAAGAGTATTTGGCCACAAGAATCCTTTTAAAAAAAAAGGCTACAAACTCTTCAAAATAAAAAAAAGGTAGGTTCATGTACTTCATTTAATGGCCCTGTCAATATAACAATTAACCTACCAAGTCCTTACATCCGAATTCGATCATCAATATAAAGTAGAGACTTCCTCTGAGAGCACAAGTTAGGAAACTCAGGCGTTGTGAAACTGCAATTCTTGATTTTTTAAGAAAATGGTTGAACTTAGCATCTTCAACTATTGATAAAAACATGAGCCCATCCTGCGATCCAAAAATTCCTTCAAGGATTAGAATCTTCTGAAACATTTCTTTCATTATATAATTCAACATTTTAGATAAGAGGTTGGGGGATATGCGATATATTAAAAAAGAGCTTAAATTTTTGGTCATTTTTATTTGATATATAGTCGCAACAGCCCAAGTGAAATATAACATATTTTCAAAACTGAATAGTTCCAATTTTTTCAGAAATTTTTCTTTGCTGTATCGTTGAAAAATATGGTTTAATGTTTTTTGAGTTTTCACAAGCAAGTCTTCACTTCCTATAAAGGGATTTGATTCCAAAACATAAGGATCAACACCTTACTTTGTGATTTAGAAATCGTATCACCCAGTCTACTTGTCAATATTTTTTTTAGTTTCAAAAAACATATCATTTGATTGGTTATGGATGAATCATGATCATAAATTATGTACTGATACACCATTTGAATGACCATCCTGAGATATATGTATAACATAGAAATACCTTAGGCCCATTGGACTTATAGGTCACCTGAGAATCATGTAACAACTTTCCAACAATTTAGTTGGTTCGTGTTTCAAAGCAGAGGCAATGAAATTCAAAATTTTGAAAGAGGCAATATTGCAAATTATAACTATACACTTTGATTGGTTTCTTTGGTTCCTTAATATCAGAGTAACCAAAAGAAGATGCAATTCCACTTTATAACCAGTTGTGCACCCCATCCCACAATAACTACTGACCCTGGGGCACATGTTTCATTATCCTTGAAATTTCCTCATGAATAATTGATTAATACCAAAAAAGCAG